TATATATATATATATATATATATATATATACACACACACTGGAAACCAATGTAGCTTTAAAAGCATTACTTAGCTCAATGGGTGTGCAAATTTATGATTATTGACTGCATACCGATGACCTCACCCCATGGTGGTGGATGATCTCACCCAACAGCTTCATGTCCATAGATGTTAAACTGAAGAGAGTATCAAACCCTATGGATCCCACAAAGGAGGGACTGAGGGTGGGATTGCTCACTTCCAATCAACACTAGTACCAACCCCATAGAAAAGAAGAGAATCAATACAGTACAGGGCCTTCACTCTTCAGACTCAACACAGCCAATCCAGATGGATACTATTATATTGTTGGTGGTATCCAAAATTTGCAAAGAGGTCAAGAAGAACCAGCATGGACACATTACCCCCACTATGCTTCTACCAGAGATCATTCAAAAGCATGCCCAATACCATTTCGGTCCCATGCCCGGGCCTGAATTCTGACTAAGAGAATCATATGATCTGCTTCCTCCAGGGTCCACTGAAGCCACTTTACGACCACCTTCTTCACAACCTTCTCTAAAAAAGAAGAATGGATACTGGATGAAAATTGTCCACTATGGTGTGATCTACCAAATGCTTCTTGAGGACGGAGCAAACCAATGTTGTTACTTATTATTATGGGAGATGTTATTACTACATTGTTACTACGCTGCTAACCACAGCCTTTTCATGATTTCAGCACACAGATGATGAATAACTCTCCTACAAACAGTTATGTTGCCATCTTGCCAGTTTGTGGTGAAATGCAACATTTCTTCTATAATATACCTGGTGTCATTACTCTCTCTTGAAAGCATTTCATTAACAACTCACAGCTTACATCGAGGTTCTCAAACTTGGCGACTTTAAGAGTTGTGGACTTCAACTCCCAGAATTCTCCAGCCAGCATAGCTGGAGTTATAGTCCACAAGTCTTAAAGTTGCCAAGTTTGGGGACCCCTGACTTACACAGTAACAATGTATCCCTGTCCTAACAATATTTAAAACAAGAATATTAAATTGGGAAGCAATGAGAAGATGTCAAAAAACATCACGGTTTCTATATTGTTAAGCATAATCACTTTTCACAGATATCCTTTTAGGGATCAGTCTGAAGTGTCTAGATCAAAATATCACATTTTGACAAACTGCCTTAATACTTTAAAACATTAATTCTTACATTTGTTTTGCCCTCCAGACCCCTTCCCGCTTTTAAAAATTATGGAAGATCCTAAAAGAGCTTTTTTGTCTGTACATTAAAATTTTTATTAAAAAGTAAAACTGATGCATTCCTAGAATATTTGTTGAATTGTGTAAAACCCACTAAACTGTTTATAGCTGAGGGTTGAAATGAGAGGTCCTTGGTAGGCTCTCTGAGCTTGCTTCCTAGCACTAGATGGGGAATCTAGTTAGAGTAATGAAGTAATGGTTATCGGTTAATTAAAGTTTTGCAAGAAAACAAGCAAACTCAGAGGACACCATGGACCGCTCAGCAAAACGTAGAGAAAGAGCGGGCTCAAATTTAGCTGAATTAGTCGAAAGACCACCAGGCGGCTAAAGTTTCAGAGGTTTTTCAGGCGGCGCAACAGGAGCTCTCCCCAGCCTCGCAGCGAAGAACTTCAGCGCCAATGAACACAGCAAGGCAAAACGCTTTCAAACGCCCAGCTGATCGCTTCGAACCACTATCCAGGCAAGAAATTGTTTTCCCGCCCTTTCGGCTTCTTCTTTATAACGGATAAGTGTATTTTACTTCACTTCCACTCCAATGGGACGAGCTCAAGTCGCGAGACTGGATTTTGTCACAACCGAAGAGGAAAGTCTATGGAGATCCTCAGTGATCCAGGTCATGGTTGTCCCAAAGGTGCTTTTTTTCAGGAGGCGACTTGACTTTCTTGGGATTTTTTCCCCCTTTCTTTGAAGTCGTTTCGCTTCTCACCCTAGAAGTGGCCTCAGCGACCCTCTTCAAAAGGATGCAAATGACCAGCTGCCTGCAAGGGATATCAATCCTTCCTTTTTCCGCCGTCCAGGCAGAGCTGAGAAAGCTTCTTCGATGAGAAGCGAAACGTCTTCAAAGAAAAAAGTCCAGTCCCCACCCACCCAGAAGAAAAGCACCTTTGGGACAACCGAAGGGGAATAATTTAACACGGGGGGAGGAGGGGGGTCTGGGGCGCCACGCCAATCATTCGACGTTGCTAGTATGTGGCTTCGGTCTTCAAGGGAGGGCATAAAAAACCACTTTCATGCAAGAAATATATAAATGCTCGCCGAAGCAAACACAAGTCAAATACATAAGAAGATATGAATTCCTTTCTTTAATGCTGCCCTCTGAGGACAGACGCGCGAAAATGCTGTTGCTGCAGGGATTCCACCCCTCCCCCTTTTATTTTATTTATTTATTTATTTTTGCTATGGAGAGTTCTGTCTGTGGGGAAGGATAAGAAGAGGACGAGATTACTTTTCCTTTTCAATTGAACGAACAGAGCAGAAAGATCCCATAGTCGGCCTCGCTGCTGCGAGATCAGAACCACAATCTTTCTCTTCTCCCTGCAATAGGAGGGAAAACGCGATAGTTGCACCCTCGTTTCGTGTTCCGCCTTGGCATTTGCCTTTCTACACGTTTTTTGTCTCTACATTGGAGGCTGGCCAAGCCAGCTGCGCCTTGCGATACGGCCTTTCCTTCGAGGGATGCGGATGACGCCAAGGCGTCTGGTCATGTGACTGAGGGAGAGCGCTTCCTGGTTGGGTGAGGGTGAGGGGAATGGCTGACATCCCTGTGAGTCCTGGGGTTACTCCCGCCGGACCGAGAATGGGACCCGGTCCTGCAGAAGGCGCCGACGCACTTTTCGTGGCCCTGAGTGCTGGTTTCACGGTCCTCAGCCACCCGCTGCTCTACGTGAAGCTTCTGGTGCAGGTGCGGCTTGGGGACCGAACCTCCAATGCAGGCTCCGGAGGGAAGGAGATGTCTTGTTAGGGGTGGCGGGACCTGTGGACTAGCAGCCTTAATAGAGGAGACGAAGGCAGTTCTCGACAGGGGCTTAGCTCTTTGCTCCTAGGGTCTGCGGATGATTCCTTAGGAAGGGCTGGCTTCGCCAAAGAGGTGCCGATTGCCCTACAAGCTCCACTTTGGTGCTTGCACAGATATCCATTTAACTGACATTGAGTCTTTATTTATTAGCCCTTGGGCCATATGAAAGTGCAAAGTTCCAGAAACAAATTATTACTCAAATTTGATAAAAGCAATTTAAAATGGAATTGGAATAAAATACAGTCTAAAATGAAATTGGAGTAGAATACAATAATTTAAGATATAGATTAAATATGATAAAATTATATTTCAGTGTCACCCCTGCAATCTACCCCAATCAGTCCCGCATATCAACCAAACCATTTTGTTTAAGTACTGTGTTGTATTAAATGTTATTTTCCAGTTCTGGCTGCACATAAGACAAGTTGTTTTGATATGGGTTGCACAGATATCATAAAGGAATTTGGCTCCTTAGACTAGTTGCTTCCAAAAAATCTTTAAAAAAAAAAACTTGGCAGCTTTAAGATGGATGGTCTTCTGGAGAAGGATTAATAGATCCTAATGGATCTGTTAACTGTAATTTGTTGTGGGTAGGTTAATGATGTGAAGTGGTTTGCCCTGGCTTTCTTATGACGTTTTATGGCCCCTTTAACCTCTAGAGCCCTAAGATTTACTGCTGGCTTTCCTTCCAAGCAGTAGTGTGATCCTTTTGCTTTTGATTAAGTGCTTCAAATAACAATGAGATAATAGCAATGGGCATACCTGCCTTTGGAACGGTAGAGAAGATTCTTTTCTACCAGTGAGTCTTCTCAAGCATAATTAGTAATGTGTTTTGGTTCAGAAAAATTTAATTCAATGCAAAGGAGAGAACTAGAATGTGGGAGCAACAAGAAGTGGCCCTTATCTAAGCTATAAAGTATGGACAAAGTTCACTGGGGTGGACATATTTATAAGAAACTGGTGTTACTTTTTCCTTTTTTTTATAGGTTGGGCATGAGCCTCTACCTCCAACTATTGGGAGAAATTTACTGGGGAGGAAAGTTTTTTACCTTCCTGGATTTTTTACGTATGGTGAGTATGTCCTGCTTATATTTACCTATAGATCTAATGAGAATAAGTAACCAACTCAAACAATGAAATATTAATACATTGCTAACTCAGATGTCTTCCTTTTAACATGATTGCTGAGTATACTTTTCTGTAGTTTTACATATCCACTGAATGAAATCGAACTTGCTGCTAAGTAGGAATCAGATTTTGTTATTATTATTTAAAATGATGTATAACAGGGAAATGTTTTGTTTATAATACTAAGATTTATTTGACATGCAAAAGGAATATAATATAAAACATTTGATTCTTCTTGATTTAGAAGACTTTGTGCTTAGAGCAAAACTCACAATTTGATCCTTAATGTGTAAAAAAAAATATAGTGATGAATAAGCCATTAAAAACTTTATATTTCTATTTAACTTTTTTTCTTTTTGAGTAGGCAAACAAATTTAAATATATGGGCATCTTTTGATCATAAAAGATAAAGAATCCCCTTCATTAAAAATCCTTTTCTATAAAAATATTTTGTTTCAATAATAATTACAGCAATTGAGGTTTTGGCTAACTTCCTTTTATCATATTAACTTATCTAGGAGAAAAGTTCTTAGCGTTTACTAATTGATATTGATTAGCAATTTATTTTGGAAGAGATGGGATCTCAGTTAAAAATGGAGGGACACATTTATGACAAGTACAATAACATTTGCATTTATTAGTATTTGCTGTTGATATACAGTATAAAACTTTATCCAGTTATGAAGCTCATAATTAGGATTCTTGGATTCTTGCCTACTGACTACATGATTGAATTCTTAATACTATTTTATAATCATTTTGTAGACTTGTTTTAATGAAACAGTTTCTCCTATAAGCATAAAAGGCATATTTAGGGAACAAAATTTACTTTCAAGTTAGCTAAATTTAGATTCAGTTTTGCAAACATAGTAGTAAGCAATTGCTACTTATAGCAATTAATTATAACATATTACGGCATTTTTCTTTTCTCTCCAACTATCTGAAGTTTATAATACCTTAAACTCTATAAAATTCATTTCAAAAATTTTGTAGATAATAATCTATAGCCTTTTGAGTGGAAGGAGGCAACATAGCTAAGCACAAGTTAAAGGAATCTTCATACTCTGCTTTAATACTATAAAATCCAATGTAATTCTTAAGATCACAGTTGAAAAAATAGTTGAAAATGCAAGGTTTCCTCACAGTTTTTACCATCTTAGTGTCAGTGGATAGTTTAAACCCTAATGTGCATTATTGTATATAGATATCCAGTCATCTGAATGTTAGCGATTTTGCAGAATCATGACGACGTAACTTCAGTGTAATTTATTTCTAGCCAGGCACATTGTAGAAGTAGATGGGAAAATGGGTCTTTTCCGTGGTCTTTCTCCTCGTATCATCTCTAGCGTTTTATCTACGATAAACCGCGAACAAGTGAAGAAGGTACAGTATGTCACATATTTGTTCTCTAATCTCTTTGTACTGAAAAGGCTACTTGTGAGGCCAAATTGTGTAATAAATGTCCAGGCCAACACTTTCTCACAGCTGAAGTCTCAGTTTCTGCATTTTCCTAGTTGGACTTTGGAAGGGATTCAAATTCAAAAACAGCAGCATGCGATGGCAACAATATCAACAACCCTTCTTGTTATACAATAAAGCTATTTCTTCTAGCCAGTAATAGTGAAATATTGTTTAGACCTGAGGTGTTGAACTTGAAAAGCAATGGTAGTAACTGACCTCATAGAGGAAGCCCTCAAAACATATTATTGGATTTTTTTTAATGGTGTGAACTATTTCCTGAGTTGTACAGAATTTTATACCACAGTTGCATAGTAATATCCTTCCTGGACCATATTTCTTATTAAGGCATCATTAAGTTGCTTTAGGATTATCTGAAAGTCTTTAACCTTGCAAGAATAATAAAGTGCTCATCCGTTCTTTTATTTCCTGTGAAGGCCTGTTAGTTTGTATATCCTTGGCCTGTCTTTGACAGTGGGATTGCTAATTTTACTTTCCTAATGTTTAATGACACATCCTCATTAAGAATGGGAGATGGGTTGGTCTGCCTCTTGCCAAGACAAGTTGGCCACCAGCCACGCTTGCTCGCAAAGCTCCAAAACCTCAGCACTGTCTCATTCAACTATGCAGATTATCATTTCCCTCCATTGTTCCCATTGCTTGGAAAAGAATTTCTTTCATCTTTCTTCAACCAAAGTGTAGGCTTGCCCATGCTATGATTCATGAACAAGAGGCACCAGCAGGCTTTAGAGCTGAACATTTTCAGAACAGGCAGAAATCTGTTTCCATTACTATGTTAATGCAGCAGTGCTATGACTCAAAAGAAGGAAAGCTTGAATCCTGAGGATTCTCCTTTGGCAGGCCACTCTTTCAGTCTGTCTGCTTAACAACCAGTGTGGTTGCTTAACAAACATATCTGGGAGAGCCCAGATTGTGATCATTGAACAAAGTGGTCATATAGGCACCTTGCTTAATAACTGCCTCACTCGATTCCAGTCCCAATTGAGGTCATAAGTCAAGGATTTTCTGAATATTGTATTATCGCATTAGTCCAGGTACTGATACAACAAAATACAATGAAGGTATAGTAAAATAATCATCCCATGCACGCTCCAATTCCTTGGAGGACAAGTAAAGTACAGACGTGATAACCTCTTCTCTATTCAAATCTTGGGAGTATCTCTGTTAGAAAAATCTCATATGTCAAATATATATATATTTGTTTATCATAATCAGGTCTCTTGAGCTTACTTTCTCTCTTATACCCCAGGCCTTCCCGCTAGAAGATATGGAGCACGTTTCCAATAAGGATGATATGAAGACATCTCTCAGGAAAGTGACAAAAGAGGTGGAATTTTAAAGCAAATTTGTTTTGCTTCAATATTTTGTATTTGGAAAGATTATATATTTCAAAGAATAATTAAGATCGATATGAATGTTGAATCCCCAAATCTTCTCTTTTCCAGTGTGATTAAGCCCAATTTGAAAAAAATGCCTCAGAGCCTTGTGAGGTGGGAAAGACTACATAAATAGTGAAAACTTAAGGATGCTAAGATTTCTCCTACTAATCTATTCTAATACTAAACACTAAAAATGTTAACATGTTTTCCTCTAATTATTTTTAATAGATACAATCTTGAGACTATTAAAAGTGAAGCCAATCTTTTAGCATTCAAGGAAGTTTAAAAATGAACTAACACTTTTAAAAATTCCTGTAATACACAAAGTAAAACTGAAATATTTCTCAAAGTTGCATAGCTTGATTTCTTTTTTTCTCTTTCAACTTAACCCATACTGTGCTTGCTGCATGGGTACTTTGGGGCTCTCTTTGTCATCTTTTCAGCCTCTTTTTACAGGTAGTCCTGAAGTTATGATCATTTATTTAATGACCATTCAAAATTATGGCGCTGAATAAATAGTACTTATATTCAGGCCCCAAGGTTACCACCCTTGCAATGCTACTCTTAGCGTGTGATCAAAATTCAGGCACTTGGCAGCACATTCGCACTTACCACTACAGGGATGCTACCATTCCCCGCACCCACTTGTTGTCCCCCCCCCCCCCATGTGTGCCCTTTTGGCTCCTAGATTCAGCAGCCCTAGCCATCCTGTGCTCCACTGCCCAGCTGACCTCTGCCTTGCTACTCCTGCTGTAACCCAAGCATTCCCAGCCTGGTCCTTTGCAAGGCAGTTTCTGGCAGCATAAGGATTTCTTCCCAAATTCATGTGCAGCCGTTTCCTTGTATGAAACCTGCAGAAGAAGGACTCACATGGCCATTACCTGCCTCACAAAGAGTCAGGCCAGGCAATGGCAGACACCTGGTGGGGGAATCTCAAGCAGCAGAGTGCAGGAAGTCAAGGCCAGCTGGGACTGGGCTGGGATTTTTTGGCACCGCTGGGGCTGAGTATTGCACTGCTGAGCTAGGCTGGGGCTTCCTGGATAGCTATAGCTTTGCACTATGTTGTTGGTCCAAGCTGGGGCAGCTGCAGCTTTGCACTGCATTGCAGTTCAGAGGCTTCTTGCAGCTCTAGAGCCACGGTGTGCCAAGAAGCTCCTGAGCTGTGCAGTTCTGGGACTATTTGCCATCCTAGGAGATGGTGCAGTGTGGCTAAAGGGGCATAATGGACAGTTGAAGGGAGTTGAAAGATATGCAGTCCCTTATCGTGGAAGAACAGAGGCTCAGGGCTGGGAGGGACCAAGCCAGGAATGGCTTGGATTGGGATGGGTCCTCCACTAAGAATTGGTGGAATTTGGTTAATGATAGCAAAAGGGAGTGCTGGGATTGCCATTACAAAGCAGTGTCGCTAAGCCTCACGTGACATCAAGCTTTATGACCATATTGCTTAGCAATGTAAATTCTGGTCCTGGTTACTTTCGTAACTCAAGGACTACCTGTATCTGAATAATATACAATATATGACAGTCCTTTAGAGCAATAGAGAATGACTTAGAGTACAGTAGCATAGAAACTGTATTGCTATATTCCGTGTAATCCAGCAAATATGTTTTTTCAAATAAGGAAACTAAGATACTTAAAACAAGAAGTTTCTCATTATGGTGTAGTTTTTGTGACATGATTTGCTTAAGATTTTTTTTTAAAGTGTTCTATTTTGATATTTTATCAGACTTGCCATGAGATGACGATGCAATGTGTATCCCGAATTATTTCTCATCCACTTCATGGTGAGTTATGGATCTGCTCTTGTCAAGTCCCATCTCCACTTAAACATTCATTTTGTGGTATTTTTCCCTATAAAATTATAAAACATATAATTCAAATTTATTTTATTTACATACATCTTTGCACATTATCTCACTTTACTATGACCAGTTTTCAGTTGATTCTGAGGTAGAATCTTTGGTTATCTGTCATGGATAGTGTTTTGCAAAATGTTTCAACATGAAACTTTGTATTCAACTTCCGCATACAGTAAATGATTTGGACATGACATGGATTTTGCCTAGCTCTACTTTGATCTATGATCTATTTTAAGGTGGGATCACTTCTGATGAAGTCAAAGTCTGATGAAGTTGAGGTGTTTCAGAAGCAGAATCTTTTGCTCTGAGAAGTTTTTACACATCTTTGGTTATGTTGTCCATATATTACCATATTACCATACCTAATAAGACACCCACCCCACCACATTAAGCAACTGCAACTGAGTAGAACTGATGTTCTACTGAAAGCAAAGGAATTGGCAGGACATACAAATAACTAGATGTTTCTTTTGAAAAGTGTATATGCCTTGAAAATTAGTCTGAAGATTAGTCTGAGCTTGCAAAAAGGTCTTTTTTGCCTGACCTATTTGTTTTTAAAACTTTGCCTTCTCTTCTTCCCTTCTCTGTCCACTTAACTTCAACTTTCCTGGTTCTATTCCCCTTCTATTCTTCTTCTTTTTACTGGAAGTAAGGAGGTGTGTGAGTTTGTAAGTGTGTGTTTATAAAGGAGTTTGAGTGTTTAATAGTTTTATATGCAGGTGGAAAACTTGTTGATTTTATAATTTAGTGTCATGCTTTACAGACAATACTATAATAACTTATTAAAAATTTGTTACTTGGGTCCTGGCCTATATTGGGGTGTAGTTCCTATCAGGCCTATATACAAGTATACAAGTATATGTGCACAAAAGTCTTTATTGGCACGGATTTACTGAGGAGGGATTTTCAGACTGGCTTCAGCTGGAATTGACAATTCTAGATTGGTGAAATAAAAAAGTTAGGCATATCAAAGATTTTTGCCTGTTGGTATATATTTTGTTCCTATCTACTTTTCCTGTGTTGAAATGTTCTTAAATTCAGAGTTATCTTCATATCTATAAGCATTTTAATATCAAAACAAGTAAGGTTCTGGTCAATTCCAGGTCACTGGGAATACAAGCCATTGTTATTACTTTTGCAGATAAATCTCTTAGGTTTCCAATAGTCATCTGAGAGATCACTATGGGAAGAGAATTCTGAATTCCAGAGGCCTGTAGAATATTTCAGTTGAAACTCCTTTTGCTATTATGAAAATGTTGAGATATTTTTTCAGTATAAAAATATGTAAATGAAATACTTCTATATTCATATCTCTTGTTTTTTCTTCTGAAGTAATATCTATGCGCTGTATGGTCCAGTTCGTAGGACGAGAAGTTAAGTACAGGTGAGATGATCTTAACATTCTATAGCTCAATCTGAGAATAATAGCAAGGGATTTTATAGTACTGCACTGGCCAGAAGTAATAAAAAATATTTGATCAATATCAATAATTATTTCTAAGAAATATAGGTGTTTCTTTTCGTGTTATTGAAGAATATTGGCAGCAATACGGTAATTTACTTTAGGATAAAGAGGTGTGAGAGAGCACTTCCACCCAGATCTAATCGTTTTCCTTTGTCAACAGCCATATATTTAGTTCAGTCAAGACAATTTGGAAAGAAGAAGGACTCTTGGGATTCTTTGTGTAAGTAAGTCTATTCCAATTGCCACCAAATTTAATTAAGCCTGAACTTGCTGTGTTGTTATGTTGAGAATCAATTATCACACCACTGAGAAGAATTGGCTCTTGTTCAGTACAATCAGCTTTCCTTAAGTGTTATAATTCAATTCAAAGTTCAGAATTGTTTATTAAAAGTTTATTACATGTGCTAATGCCTTCTGGCATTATATAAAAGAGAGAAAGAGATAATACTTGACAATTCATTGTCTCCCATGGTCAGTCACAATTCATGTTCCACATAAAAATAACAATCTCTCATAAAATAATTGGACTTGGAACTTTTCTCTTCATAAAGTTCCTTGATATATTTTTGAAGAATTGCAAGACCTGTTAAAGCACAGTGAATTATTAGGACTGATTCAAACTAGGAAATTCTTAATCTGTTTCAGGACCTGCATTTTAATCAGTGCTAAATTTAACTTAATGATATGTAGAATAAATCAATAAAGATTTTTTGCATTAGAAAATAGACATGACTGTATTAAATTAGGAATACAATCAACCTATACATTTCCTGGTCACTGGTTAAGATCTGCATCTCATATGATTGGCTTTTCCTAAGATTCTAAAAAAAATATCTTAAAGAGTTTCTACTTTAACTTTTCTGAATGGTCCAAATCCTCTCTAACAGCAAAAAAAATGTTAAAATATTGTATGAGTACTTTATAAAATGAAATGAGAAATCCAGGTTGTTGCTTACAACACAGGCTAGAATCCAGGAGACCACAAGTTCTGGTCCTGCCTTAGGCACAAACCCATTTGGGTGGCCTTGGGCTAAACAAGCTCTCTCTCAGTTCTTGGAAGAAAGCAATGCAAATCACTTCCGAAATCTTGCAAACAGAAATGAGCAACTTAGTTTGGACTGAGAGACTTTTAAATGGCACACCGGTAGCCTTCCTCCAAAACTCAAATGAAACCAGAGCAAAACAGTATATAGAACCAAGACAAATATTAGATATTTAATTTATAAGGAATTACAATGTTGAAAGATGGCATTGCTATTGCTCACTTACTTAATTCCCCTTCTAGTCATTTCCTGTCACATTATCACTTTTGGAAAGTCTTTTGAGAGGTTGTAAGCACTCAGGAACATGGCAGTTTTAACCTGTGAATAGTTTGCATGCCTGAAAGCAAACCTGGGAATTTCTTTCCAGGAAAGTCATAAAGAAGATCATATTCTGACTCATGGCTAGTGAGTTTTTACATTGACAGAATGCAACATGGAAAAAGGGTCTTTTCACTCTGTATCCTTCCTGGCACAGAGTAGCAAGCAAAGGGGTAACATCTAATGACATATATGTACTAGTACTAGTATTACAGGTAATTAGAAAATAGGATAGGCTGTAGCAAGAATATGGCTTCCAATCAGTATGGACTCTTGGATGGTTGAGTTAATAACATGTTTCTGTTGCAGTTAAACATAGGCACATGCATAATTAATGACTGTATTATCCTATATACACAGATATGATACTAAATGGCCCTTACTCATCCTTCTTGCTTTCTGCATGCTCAAAGTTATTTACTATTGCTGAATTAATTAATACATTCATATTTATGATTAGTTTTCCAAGGCATGTTGCTGTGTATCAGATTTCTTTGTTCTCTGTGCATACATTTGGCCTGGGGTTCATTCTTCCTTTTCTTTCCTCAATGTGCATTAGAGCATAGATGAAGTTCTAAGATCTTGTATCTCTCATTTTCTTACTACATGCCTTAGGACTTGATTTAGTCTCTAAGCTCCAGTCTTTCTGGGTTTTTTTGCATTCGAAATACAAATTTCAATGTGTAATGTTTACAGATTTTACTATTATTATTCTTTGAACTGTATGAGGTTAATTTAAGAGTATTTTTATGTAATATTTTCCCTTATTCTTTTCTTTTCCCTCAGAGGTTTAGTTCCTCATGTCCTAGGAGATCTTATTTTTCTGTGGTGTTGCAACCTTCTGGCTCATTTTATCAACACTTACGCTGTGGATGACAACGTGAGTGATGACCTTCCTAATCTTATTGGACTCTAACATGTCTTCCCCAAAGATCCAGGGCGGTGTAGTGGGTAAGACCACAGGCTGTTCCCAGCTAAGGTGCACGTTCATACCTAAGCCATGAAAATTCATTTTGAACTAGTCGTACATCGTTAGTCCGGTGCACCTCATATGTGTGGTGGTTGGGAGGATAAATAGACATCCCAAGGTAGATTTCCAAACAAGCCTGGGAGAAAGGGATATAAATCTAACAAATAATTCATGGTCATGTCAAGCAAGAAAGTGGATCGAAATAAACCAGAATTTCACAAGCTTGAGTATTATTGTACAACAATTATTTCCTTCTGGCTGTTTGTTAGTTTTATGCTGGCAGTTTTCCCATATTCACTTACTGTCTTTTTTTACAGAAAGTAAACAAAATGGGGGGGGGGGGAACCTATTGAATATTGAAAGCTGTTTCCTAGCTAATAATAACATTCGGTATTTCTGGTTATTAATAAGATTCAAATATTACACTTGGTCTGCTGCGACTAAACTTTATTATAGTCAAGTAGTCTTCTAATTAATCTCTTAACTTTTTTCCTAATAAAATTATAATTGCATTGTTATTTTTTTCTACCTCTTATGAGCCTAAAATGATGCCATTCCTGATCATTCCTGATCTTCACACATGCCCTAGCAAGAGTTGATTGTCAAATATTTTCCTGTATTTATTTAACACGTGTGTTGCCGTGGTCCCCAAGAAACTTTGGATTTGGATTATTGTTTTTTTTTCCTTACAGTTCAACCAGGCTTCTGTCATTCGGAGCTACACTAAATTTATGATGGGGGTATGTAAGATTTGTGTCTTTTGAACTGTGTATAAGCTGTATGTTCCTGATTCATTGCTTTTGTCGCTCCTCCCAGGCTTGATCTTTTCCTAATATCTTGGGAGTGCGGTTTCTGGCTAGCATGGCCAAAGGCAATTCCACTCCTACACGCAGCCATTTATATATGTGTGTATATGTGTATATTCCATCATAACTCTGGAACCTCTTCAGCAATTACAACCAAACTTGGTACATAGATGAGTTACTCTCTGGGAAAACATACTGTGGGGGTAAGACACCCCTAAGACCCCTTGGGGAGGGGGAGTGTTCTATTAAGATACAGCCTGTTGTGCCTTAAAATGGCTTCTACTGTACTGCCGTAAAATGGCTTCTACTGTACAGCACAGTGGAGTTGCTATGGTAATAGCTTCACAGTACTCCACAAGGGGACTCCCTCTGGCAAGGGAAAAAAATCCAACATTAGAAATTACATTTGGTCCAGACATTTTCCCCTATAAATAAATACCCAGGCAATGCCGGGTTATCAGCTAGTTGGGGAAAAATACAGAAGTCTTGGCAGCACTTTTTCAACTAACAGATTTTATTAAAAGGCGTAAGCTTTTGGACGCTGTAATTCACTTCATCAGATGTTGATGACTTGATATACATACAATATAAAATGATATGTTGGGAAAGAGAGAAGAAAACAGATTGATTACACAGATGAAGGTTTAGATAGGAGACAATTACAAATACCTCATCAATTGAAAATTGTTAATATGTAAAAAAAAAAACTTTGTGTTGAGCTCTTTTGAGGTAGCTTGAAAACTTTTCGAAAACTTTTCTGTGTGAGTTCAGCAATATCAGAGAGTCTCATCAAACACAAATGGTTACAGGGACCAAGCCTTTCCCTCCCAGGACTCTAGTTGGATGGTTCAGATCCATGTGATTGGAGATCTAACAGTGCAGAAATTGACTTCTATTCCACTCCCCAGCTACCTTATTCAGCCCTGTTAGTCTTGCTATCGGGTGCGAGTACTGAGCAAGCAGATGGGGAGCAGCTCCATGTAACTGGAGTTCTGGTAGAAAAAAAATCAGCTCCCCATGCATGCTTTTCTCCTTACCCTTGTAAGTCTTGACTGTCTGGAGATGGCAGATCGCAGTCCTGTCTGCGTCATAAATCACATCATAAATGAGATATCAATCACAGGCTTTATTAAGAAAATGGAAAACACTACTATAACCCTGGAATAAGTAAAGGCAATATCAGTTTACATCTCAGTTGGCTGGGAATAAGATAAAAGCAACATATAATGGTCTATCTTTTCAGAATAGTTAGTGAGAAATCTTTTGCTGCGATTAACAGGAACTGAAGATATATTCTGTTTTCCAGATGTACACATCAAGAACAGTGTAGTGGCGATACTAAGTATTGATAACTCTTTTAAGTGCAGGCTTTTTTTTCATTTCCAATTGTTTCTGTGGTCTGCTGAGTTGGTTATATGTATATTACTGTACTAATATGTAACCCAGTTCTGGTAAAAAAAATAGTAAACTGGTCCTTTCCTATTTCTTTTGCACAAAGCCTTCTTTACCTACAGTATTTATTTTTTTATTTTGCTTAACTGTGAAGAATAGAAGGAATGCCTTAGATATTTCTTTGTTACAGATTGCTGTGAGCATGTTGACATACCCTTTTCTTCTTGTGGGTGATCTCATGGCAGTGAACAACTGTGGGTATGTGATATTAATCCCAACCCCCACTCCAGCAAATACAGCTTAATCTTTCCAGTGAAAATTTAGTGGGCTTCCTGTTTGGCAGAAATACTCAATAGTCTCAGTTTCCTAGATAAAAGACTTTAAGTCTTGTATACATAAAGAAAACCTACACTACTTTCCTGTCTTCTTTGTCAAGAAAGAAAAAAGAACGAGAGAGAGAGAGAGAGAATAGACTTTATTTCATATGGATAGATTTGGAATCAATGAAGGAAGAAAATAACTGGTTTGGTTGTATATGGGTCTATTTGGGGGAAACGTTATTTTTATTTACTCCATGCGTTTTTAGTTTAATAAACATTAAGCATATTTTTTTTTCATTTTATTCATTTATAGGCCGCCCTTTTCCCTGAGGGGACTCAGGGCGGCTTACAATAATAAGGGAAGGGGAGTGAAGACAAATATAGAAAAAAAAAAATGTGAAATAACTAAAAAATACTAAAACACAACATTCACTCAGCATTCGGGAGGGGCAGAAAAGTTTATCCCCAGGCCTGACGGGCTAGCCAGATCTTAAGGGCTGTACGGAAGGCCTGGACTGTGGTCAGGGTTCGAATCTCCACGGGGAGATTGTTCCATAGCATCGGAGCCTGCAGTGCTGCATTTAACCACTGCGCCACCTCAGCTCTTTTGGGACACATATTCTAAACCACAAGCCACATAGGCTGGGTTCACCCAAAATG